GTCACCTATATATTGTGATGACATGTTACATCCATGCCTCCATCCGTCCGTGTATCCTCGCCCATGTATCCATCCATCCATGCCATGTATCCCTGCATTCATACATGCAATTATTTTCTTTTGATGCATAATTAACATCACACTTTATGAGTGACATGGCTGTATCAATCTGTTCATGTATTCATCCATCCGTGTATCCCTCCATTCCTACTTGTAATGTTTTCCGTTTGATGCATAATTAACATCACACTTTATGAGTGACATGGCTGTATCAATCCGTTCATGTATTCATCCATCCATGTATCCCTCCATTGATACATGAAATGTTTTTCGTTCGATGCACAGTTAACGTCACACTAAATGAGTGACATCCATGTCTCTATCCGTCCACGTATCCGCGTCTACGTATCCATTCATCCGTGTATCCCTCCATTGATACATGCAATGTTTTCCGTTCGATGCATAATTAACGTCGCACTATGTGAGTGACATCTATGTCTCCATCCATACATGTATCCACGTCCATGTATCCATCCATCCATGTATCCCTCCATTCGTACATACAATGTTTTTCCGTTTGATGCATAATTAACATCATGACCAAACATGATTGACATCCGTGTCTCCATTCGTCCATCCATGTACATGTATTCCTCCATCCTTACATCTAATGTTTTTCTTTTGATGCACAATTAAACACGTTTATGTTGAGATTCATATCATCTTATTTGGTTACAGAAATATAAGACGACCCAGATTTAGGTTTCCATTCCAAAACTCCATCAAAAGCAAATTTTGCCTATCGTCGCTACTACAAGAATATGAATTGAAATGCCTACCTTTCTGATGAAGCCTATCTTGCAGAACGCGTAAAAAGAGACTTTGCTTTGGTTTACACTTTTAAGCAATATTATGAACACTATTTGAAAGATTTTCAAATCGCTTTGTACAATCTCAAAAGAGTATGAATTGTTTTTACTTAAATTTGTAATAAAAGTCAAAATATTTTACAGTGTTTGTTTTGTTTCATATTATTATTATTATTATTATCACTATTATTATTATTGGTTTGTTGAAGAAGTTTCCTCAAATTAGACTGCGAAATAATCCAAATTTCCAAAGCTTCGAATCTCGATACTCGATTGCTGAAGTAAATGGTTTTGTTAATTCTTGAGCAAAAATCCATGGAAACCATTTCCTCGATCCTACGTCATTAAGAGCGAGGAATCCTTCGATAGCTTAAGCACGGTAAGCTTTACGAAAATCTGAAAATAATCTAATTAAAAAAAATAAATAATTTTGTTAAAGTTTTGTAACTGTGAAATTTTGAATGCTTTTCCTTTCGAAAAGTGGCCAACACAAAAAATAAATTCGACTTGCCACCATTTTCCACATTACCAGCTGCCGCTAGAAGACGGCAAAAAACTGTGCAGGAGTAAAATCTGCACTTTTAATTAACTAAGCAAGGAGTTATATCCGGGTATCCATGGATATTGCAGGCTTGGCTGCTAAGCCTAGGGACGTTTTAGATACGTTGGATCGGTCTACTTTCGGTGTAAATTCTTCTTGTATATTTGAGTCTGTTCCGTTACAATTAAAGACTTTGCGACACTACACAAGGCGGTGTCCCTTCTTGTATAAAAAAAATGTATTTGTGTTCCGTTCATAATATAATTGTACCTTTGAAGAATTCTTACTGTTTTCTTATACCCAGCTACATGTACGTGTAGATCCATTGAAGTGACTAGAAAGTCTTCCCCTTTCATTCATCCAAAGAAAACGGTTTGACGCTTCCAGTGAATAGCCCATTTCCGAATTACCCTTGGCCTCTCTTTCAAAACGAGGCCTAGTGCTCAACTATTCTTGTGAAACTTAATTTATTTTGCATGTGAATGAAAACTTATCATCATATGAAAGAGTGAGCACCAGAACTCGTTTTGAAAATGAGGCCAAGTGTAATTCGGAAATGGGCTATTGATGGGCTTTTTTACTTCCTGATCAGGTCCATTGTAAAGCAAACGGACTCCATGTTGAGAGTTTCATCGCTGTCTAATTATTGGGTCGCAGGAATGGGTTTGTAAGGGACCGCGCTATGTAACGCATTTTTCGCAAAACAATTCAGCATTTTCGTTTGACTCAGTAAAAGGTGTAAACCTGCATCATTTTTCCACTAACTTTGGGAAGAGGGCTGTAACCAGAAGCAAGCTGTAAATTTCAATCTTCCATTCATGCCGGCCTCAGTTTCATTCATTATCTAAGTTTAAGTTACACATTCATCTTTTAAACTGTTGACGGTAGTGGAATAGTCACTGAAAGCATTCAAAATAACTGTCGGAGTGACTTACTTCAATAGTCTGCGAATTTCAACCCAGTCAATAGCACAAGTGCTCGCTTAGCTATTCAGACAAAAGAAGAAAGCAAGGTATTCGATCAATCACGAGAGGTTGTTCTTGGTGAAGATTGACAGTTATGATAATGTCAGGAAAGACAGCTAATGTCTGCTCATACACAAATCAGAAGTTCACCAGACTTATGTTCTGTCGTAAAATGACCGTAGGAACAACAATAACATCAAGAACAACTCTCTGTTTCGTGACAAAGAAAAGTTTATTGACCTCTACACTGAAAAAAGTACAAAACAACGGGTATTTACAGGGACCTCTAAGCAGACTAACATCTTAACCGTTTGGAGGATCACGAGGTCTAATATTTTCCTATATCCACCTTCTTGTTTTCATCTTCTGCTCGTCTTTTGAGTACTGATGTACAACACTGAAAAAGGCACATAGAAGATCAGTAACGTAGCTAACTTTACCCTTTAACTTCCACGGGTGACCAAGGAAGACCTTCTCTTTACAACATCATTACAATATGAAGAAGAGAGGTGATGCGAATAAAGAAAAATTTCAATTAGGGGATCATTAGTTGATCCGGAACCAAATTCTCTGAACTAAGATTACATGAACTGTATGCATGGCAGGCAGTAAGGAGAATTACCAAAATAATGAAGGAGATCTTGGGAGTGGAAATCTTTAACATTGAAAAGTGACAGTTCACACTTAAACTAGCTGGTATCAATAAAGAACTACGAAAGCAGAATTTCTTTGCAAACCCTAACTGTATAGAAGAAGAACCAAAGCTAAATCATGTAGATAAAAGGCAAACACAGAGGATTCTTAGACCAAAATTTGGCAGAGAATGGAATCTAACATACAGTTATGGCTGGTTTAATTTCAATTTTCTTTTTATCCTTTTCAAAAAGGGCAGGGGGCTATTTCGTTATTTTATTATCCAACTACACTTCGTAGAGTACAAATAACGCCATAGACGAGTACTAATATCACGCGGTATTTGTACTCTTAAGAGTACCGGTTAAACAGGTTTTCTCGCATCGCGCAAGCGAAGAATTGGATTGAAGTTTCGAAAAAAKAATGGCGGACAATTTGAATCACATTTTCTGGCAACGAAGTGTCGGAATGGCTGGCAAATATAGATATAAGTGTATTGGATAAATCGAACGAAGAAAAACAACTAGACGACAAGGAAATTTCTTCATTTATTAAAGAAAATAGAAACAGCAACACGACAACGCGCCAATTCCGTTCCGCTTCGTATAGTACTGTCACGCACTCCTCGTACTCCAAATATCTGCGAAATTCGCCCGCACTGAAATAACAATTTGGCGTGTTGAATAATAAACGACTCATTAAACGTTTTGTTGTGTAGTATCGCTGAGTATTTTTACTCGTTATTTGTATTTTGACTCACCGTACGGGCTCGTCAAAATACGGCACAACTCGTAAAACTGAATACTCAGCGATACTACGCAACAAAACGTCTAATAAGATACATATATATATACAAATTGGCATACAAAGCTTTGCTTTCATGTCCAAATTGAGCACTCTAACTAGGATGAGTCATTGCTCTGCAATTGCGCATGCTCGCTAGTGTACTCTAGTTTGAGCACTCTGGCATGGCTTAGACGATACCACAAAGGTTGGATCGTTTGGGGTGACCATATTGGTTCTCCTCCATCCTAGCATTAGCACTGCACTGATGAGGCCCAGAAGGCCGAAACAGTACTGTCTGCAGTTAGATATAGCTCTTTGGCATACAAAGCTTTGCTTTCATGTCCAAATTGAGCACTCTAACTAGGATGAGTCATTGCTCTGCAATTGCGCATGCTCGCTAGTGTACTCTAGTTTGAGCACTCTGGCATGGCTTAGACGATACCACAAAGGTTGGATCGTTTGGGGTGACCATATTGGTTCTCCTCCATCCTAGCATTAGCACTGCACTGATGAGGCCCAGAAGGCCGAAACAGTACTGTCTGCAGTTAGATATAGCTCTTTGGCATACAAAGCTTTGCTTTCATGTCCAAATTGAGCACTCTAACTAGGATGAGTCATTGCTCTGCAATTGCGCATGCTCGCTAGTGTACTCTAGTTTGAGCACTCTGGCATGGCTTAGACGATACCACAAAGGTTGGATCGTTTGGGGTGACCATATTGGTTCTCCTCCATCCTAGCATTAGCACTGCACTGATGAGGCCCAGAAGGCCGAAACAGTACTGTCTGCAGTTAGATATAGCTCTTTGGCATACAAAGCTTTGCTTTCATGTCCAAATTGAGCACTCTAACTAGGATGAGTCATTGCTCTGCAATTGCGCATGCTCGCTAGTGTACTCTAGTTTGAGCACTCTGGCATGGCTTAGACGATACCACAAAGGTTGGATCGTTTGGGGTGACCATATTGGTTCTCCTCCATCCTAGCATTAGCACTGCACTGATGAGGCCCAGAAGGCCGAAACAGTACTGTCTGCAGTTAGATATAGCTCTTTGGCATACAAAGCTTTGCTTTCATGTCCAAATTGAGCACTCTAACTAGGATGAGTCATTGCTCTGCAATTGCGCATGCTCGCTAGTGTACTCTAGTTTGAGCACTCTGGCATGGCTTAGACGATACCACAAAGGTTGGATCGTTTGGGGTGACCATATTGGTTCTCCTCCATCCTAGCATTAGCACTGCACTGATGAGGCCCAGAAGGCCGAAACAGTACTGTCTGCAGTTAGATATAGCTCTTTGGCATACAAAGCTTTGCTTTCATGTCCAAATTGAGCACTCTAACTAGGATGAGTCATTGCTCTGCAATTGCGCATGCTCGCTAGTGTACTCTAGTTTGAGCACTCTGGCATGGCTT